CCTTTTGAAAAGTCGAAAATAAATTGGTTAGAATGCTTTTCAATTTCGAGCAGATGCTAAAAAAAATATTTATCTCAGCAAGCCGTTGTAAAAAATAGAAAATAGGATCAGTTTTCAGACTATTGTAGTAACGAGTGGATCGAAAACAGTGAACAAAATGAAGAGAGGCGAGAAATCCGACAGCAGGTATTATGGCTTTTGTGTACCATCTTAACGATTACTTTTTGAGAAATGTGTGGCATAGTGAAGCGATGGATGCCTGCGTCGGAGGTGTTGGGTTTTCTAATTTTTCTATGATGGTGTTGGTGATCAGATGTACTGAAGGGTCTGCACATTCTGCTGTGAATCCTGCGGTTTGCTCCCAATACAGTGGCGCAGGCGAAAGAGTGATGAATGGTCTCAATGCTTCGGTGTGAAAAGAAAACGGTTGCTGGAGAGTATTGGCAAGGATCAAGGAATCAAAAATATCTCCAAATGACAAAATGATAAGCGATCAACGAACCGAATAATAATGCTATGTCAGAAGTGGAAAGCAATAATGATATAATCTTCTTCGTTCTTTTTCATGACAAGCAGCCCGTGCGACACAACTCACTCGGGGTGGTAGAAGGAAACGAGCAAATTGTTGGCAAGCTGCTTCACGAAGTAAAGCCGAAGATGATACACGTGTGTACATGGGAATTTTTTTGTTATGTCTTTTCTCGATTCAGATCAAGCTATGTCCTCATCCATGTATATTGCAACAAAGCAGGCAAGCAATATATCATTATCCTTCTACCACTCGGATCGAGCTATGTTACAGAGCGAGTTTGTCATGGTATTCGTAGCAACCGTTTTGTCTGTATCGTTGGTTGCTTTATGTGTTTGGATTCGCTGGCAAGGATGATGCATTAAACAGCTTCGAAAACATGGAAAGACAGGCTTATAGCAGATAATTTTGGTGAGATGTTTCTTTTTATAATAATTTAAATTTGTTTTCACATAACCTTTACTTTATATTGCCGAATAGAGATTCCTAAATATATTCCATTTCCTACTAACACAAATGTTCCCTCCCGTGGCATCTATGAAGGTAGTATGGGTTCCCTACACCTTCTTAAGTAGATGTTGGACTAATTTTCCTTCCTATCCCTTGCGATTGTAAGGATGTGGCCAGGTGTATAATGCGATGCTTAATTTGTAGATTTTAATGATTGGGAAAAACCACTAGTCTTCTTCTCTTCTCATTCGCATTTCAAGCTTATTGCTTAGTGCATCTTAATTTTTTGCGTGCTCTCAACTTAGTGTTCTAAATGCACTTCCACAGTTATTAATTGAGAGCTTTCGATGCCAATACCAATGCATGAATTTGTATATTGTGTGGCAAGCATAATGATATTCTATTCCCAGGGAAGTCGAGAAAATTTCCAACCCGAAAGATTCCCTAGACCGGCAACACACGATATTTTCTACAAAATGTATTGGTTGACCATTATATAGCCCCCCCACAATTTGTGCAATCGCTTATGCTATGCTATGCAATGCATCTTAACGATTACTTTTCTTCGCTTAGGTCACTTTTTAGTCACTATTTTAACAACTATAAGTCACTATTTGGTCAGTTATTTCTTCAACATGGTCACTAAAATCACTATTTTTGACAGCAGTGATCGCTACCAGCCCTGATCTGGTCGTATTGGACGATGGTATGGTTCAAAATGCGATCGGTGAAGTCGTTGAGTTTACCTATGGTGCAGAAGGGCTGGGTTTCGTGTTCATGGAAATGAAAAACAACCCCGTAGATATTCAACTTCAGTTTATGCACGTTCGTAATACAAATCCCTGTAGGGACAAAAATTCTCTGAACGTAATAAAAATTGTTCCGGCTGTGCTCGTACATACCGACTACACTGGTTTATAATGCTATGGCTATGGAAATAAGAAGCTAGTCAAACCAACCAAAATTGTTTCGCCCGTTTGACTAGCTAATGTCCTAATTGTCAGTGGCCTTATTTAAATACGGCCCGCCTGACGTATACATGGTGAAAAGGAACGGAAAATCGTGTTATAGGCAGAAAGACAAGTGATACAATTTGAAAGGACCGGGGCTAATAACAAATTACGTCCCCACGGTAACTGAAATAAACACGAGTGTTCACCGGTTGGACATAATGTAAGCATCTTGTGAACTAGTTAAATTTGCAGGTACAGGTTTGATGACTTCCAGTTCCCGCTCATGTTCTTGTGAGAATGAAGATCTTTTATCTACCGATTGAATTAAAAAAAACTAGGATTTCCCTGCACAGACTACAGAATTCTGAACAAAGCACTGAAATTATCAGACGGGACCTCTATTTACGCTTGAGGATGTGACAAATGGTTCCGTTTTCAGGCCACAACTTCAAATCGCTTGTCAAATCATGACTTTCTTCGCGAACTTGTCGGCAAACACGAACTTGAACCTTCCCGGCATATCCCAACGTCCAGCCGCGATGTAAAACTTTTGACCGGGAAGCTGCTTAAAATCGAGTTTGACGTATGTTTCGTCATCGATCAAAATGCAGCCCTTGTGTTTTGTCAAAACACGGTCGTACAAGAGCCTCCCAACTAACAATTTCAGCTGTAGATTAGCTTATACAGCTAAAAATTGGCTTATACAGCTAATGTTTGCCTTTATAATTTCACCGCTAGTCTGCAGCTAAAATTGATTAAAAATTGACGTTGTACCTTCTGGCCACATCTCGGATCGAAAGACCGGGGTTGGTTGTAACGCACCTCAAAACCTTGCTGTGCAGCTGACGATCCCTGGTTCCAGTTTTTTCGTAGGTCCGCTGATTCCTTTGCACACTCAGGGTTTCTTTTTAGGTTTTGAGCACTCGACAATCCGTTGTTTTCGGCATCTTCAGCACTTTAGCCAGCTTGGAACTGGATCACTCCGGATTTTCCAGGTGTTTGTGCAGAATATTTTGTCTTCTTTCGAATTCCATTTGACGGCATTTCTGAACGCAATCGACTACTTTGATCAAACCTGCACCAGTTGTTCTCTATAGAAGTGTTAACAAACCACTGTCAAATATTTTCGGCGTACTAGTGACGCGCGAGGGGCTTACCGATTTAATTTAAGCCAGCCTTCAAAAGTAATTGGGCTTGGGGAAGCAACAATCATTCGATCAAAGGATGATATTTTGGTTCAGTGATTTCACTTGTCGATCTGAAAGATTCAGTACGAGTTATCGATGGATAAATCGGTGACAAGCAAAACTGCCCTTCAAAAAAATTGTTAATCGTGACATCGAAAAAGGTGAATTACATCGTAAGATTGGTGAAAAGTATAGATAAGAAGCAAAGCAGCGGTTACCAAGCTTTGGGCGAAGTAAAAAAGCCTATGATTTACTAACTGATCGTCTAGGAAGGAGATTCCCATACAGATGCCACAATCATTTGGGAAAATCACGAAAACCAGGGAGAGCAAGAAAGCCATTCAGATCTCGAACAGTACGGACGCAGAAGGATCACCGAACACGGTATGAAGGGCAGGTTTTGTAAGAATTTGCCATTTATTAGCAAAGTCAACAAAGCAAACGATTCAAATTTAGAATTCTGGAAGACTGTTTGGTGGACTGATGAGTCCAAATTCGAGTTTTTCAACAGCAAAACACGAGCTCGTTTATGGCGGTGCACAGTTAAACATGGCGGACGGAACGTGTTGGTGTGGGGGTGTTTTTCTTGGATGGGTTCAGGGAGAACGACATTGCATTTTTCCGGTCTAGTAATTACTTGCGATTTTCGGGGACAAATATAATTGATGGGATTTGTTTAAGTGTGTCGTCTTGACGAAAATAGAGCAGGGATAGAAAAAATAGATGGGAATGGATTAGGGAATGGATTGAATGTAAGGGGTGTTAAAATTTTTGAGAGAGATACGACGGGAAGAGGAAACAGAACTGCGTGAGCTTGTTCATGTGAGCATTAGACCGATGCAAAATTTGAAATTTTCGCTCCACATTGCTCAAACGGTTCCAAATTGGGTCCTGATTATTCTCCCAAAATTTGAACTCATTTAGTAAGAACCTGAATTGGCAAAAACCATTTGAAGTTTCTTTGGAAATTACTATTTGGTAACCCTAATTTCGGTTCATATCAATCTCAACATTCACCAGTTCATTCTACTTATAACTGCGCTTATTGAAAATGTTCTCAGCTACATATTTGTTCAAGACTACTTTTCGATTAAATGCAAGGAACCAAAATTATTAATGATTCAAGCTACTGATGTCTTATGATTATGCTCAATCAACTGTTCAGCAGGCAACACTGGTGTTTATGGGCGTGGAATAAAGGACAAAAATCATGACTACTATGTCACACTGCAGACTACAGTGTTGCCCACAATACAGTTGCTTAATCTTGCCATAAGATTACCGATCTCTTAAACAATTAATAACTATTTAATTTGATGTTTGGCTGAAAAACCATTTTCTGTAAAGTTGTAGCTGAAACAAATTCCCATAAGAATGGCAATAGAACTTGTTAACAGCACAATATTTAAAAAAGCTAGAAGACAATGAACAAAAAAATTTTTTTTCCGCATAGTAATTTCCATATAAACTTCAAATGGTTTGTGCCAAGTCAGATTCTTATTAAATGAGTTTAAACTTTTTGAGGCTTATCAGGAACCGATTTAAACCCGTTTGAACACTGTGGAGCGAAAATTTTAAAGTTTGCATCAGTCTAGTGAGCATGCTCAATGTGTCACGTGTTCGATTTGCGCTCTATCTTTACGTCCGTGTTTGGGATGTTTCGTTACATGTCTGAATTTCGATTTTTCTAATATGACCCCCCGTATAGAAATTAAAGACGTAGTCCTACGTCAAAATAGATGAAACATATATGCTGATGTCTTAAAAACTACCCAAGTTTAACTGATAACAAATCAACTGCCATTAAGACTACCTTTATGGTACAACAATTTCTCGAATAATTTAAAGACAAATGAAAACCCACCCCATTATCGTACTTACTTGAATAGCCCGTCGAGGTCGCAATGATGGTCCAGCAAGCTGCCCAAGCCACGAACAATCGAACCAGAACCATCACGGTGGAAGCGATCGGGTACGGGAAATTGCGCTTGAAGGTCGAATGCATACTGACGAGCACCGCCATGCAGACCAGGATCCAGTACTTGCGGTATTGTTTCTGTCGATTGTGAGAGTAGCGCAATCATTATCTTCGTTCTGTTTTCAGATCGGGACCTACCTCAGTAATGTTCAGCTTGCCACGGGTCGCCGCCAGGAGCCACCCAAAGTACACACCCACCACGTACGGGGACATGCGGGCCCAGGGGGCAACGTACAGGGCACTGCCCGTGTTGTACAGCACATCGTACGACGGGACAAAGTGGTACATCAACGTAATGGCCATGTTGAAGACGAATGTGGCCGCCGCAAACAGCGTGTAGATCGATTTGCCCAGTTTGGCGTTCCTGGTGGAAAACGAAAACGAAAACGGTTGCATGAGAAAGAAGGAAGAGGCGAAAGATCCAACAGCAATGTCATGTTTACGACCTTTGCACACAAACACAGAAAGGAAAAGGCGAATGAGAGATGAAAGCGACGCTGCAGAAAAGCCTGTTCGGTGGGTGGCAACGGATTTAAAAAACTGAATGAATGAATGAATGGCGAGTCACGGAGAAGTGGGTAACGAGAGTGAAATGTGCGAAATGAATGAGGTGTGCCAAAAACATAGTTAATCATACGAGACGAGGAAAGGGGGGGTGGAGACGTACTTGGCATAGACGAAGAGCAGTGCAGTCGAGATGATGTAATACTGCATTTCGCAGGCCAATGACCAGGTCCAGTTCAGACAGAGATCGTCGATGTTGAAGAGATTTTGTATGTAGAGCACGTTACGCCACCAGTACTGCTGGCAGCGGAGATCACTGCGCTCGTGCACCCAGAACTTGGACTTGTCCACGACGTAGCTGGTCATCAGTTCGCCGATCGCGGTGATCATCAGATACAGGGGCGACAGTCTGAAACAAGTAAACGGTCGCTTGATTATGGTAATCGGTCCCACTACTTTAGATTTGCATATACCTCAAATACCGATGCAGAAGCATCTTGCCGTAGAGTTTGGCGTTCTGCCACAGTCCGTTCGATTTGACCTCCTGCACCTTGGGACGGTTCCGTACGAAGTTGTACGTCACCAGGAAGCCACTGATGGCGAAAAACACATCGACCAGCAGCGGAGCGTTGCTGACGATCTGGTAGCGCAGCTGTTCCGCATAGTGGAACATCAGGGCCGAATTTTGGATCGTAAAAAACGTGTACCACTGCATGTGGAAGCAGAGGATCAGAAAGCAGCAGATGGACCTGGAGGGTGGATGTTTGGGGTTTTGTTTTCGTGCAAAATAAAATAAAGTTGGATGAAAAGAAGTAAAAGGAGAGCGATTACATCACATTTCAACTTGAGATTTTTGGTGAAAATAAATGAGAAAGATGGTAATCATGAGTGATTCCCATGGGAAAGCAACTAACCATGTGGACGGTATGAAATCAAATAAATAGAAATCAATTTTTCCACGATAATTAAATTTATTATCAATATTGTAATGGAAAATTTAGAAGTGGTTACGCACTCAACTTCGATATTTGCCGATATTTTGAATATCAGTAGGAATATGATGCAAAAATTGAGACTAATTAGCAATTTGGCGCTTTCGTCGCGGAAGCTGAATGCTGAAAAGATTAAGTTGCTGTACGAACAATTGAACAATGTGTTTTGGAGGGAACTCCACTCGTTCATTAAAGCATTAGCACCTTATTTTCTCAAATACAAACATTTAGCAGATTATATCGATGAATTGGTAAGGTTATTCACCTAAGCTATACAAATTTAACTATTCGTTTATTAGTTTTCATTCATACACTATGAATTTTGTAGATGAACAGGCTTAGGAGCGATTGAACAAGCGCCATAAATTCTACAGGCCGAACATTTTTTTCCGAGGCAATTTAATCCGATATGAAGGCAACGGCATTAGCATATGTTTCGATCCGAAGCTATCGTATCTAACATACCACAATGAAGGCTCGAAAGTAACATTTGGTAGTAAGGATGTGAAATACATGGAGGAAATGGCACAATTTTATAAGGATGGCGGTTAGACTGATGCAAAATTTGAAATTTTCGCTCCACTGTGCTCAAACTGTTTCAAATTGGATCCTGATTAGCTTCGCAAAATTTGAACTTATTTAGTTAGAAACTGACTTGGCACAAACCATTTGAAGTTGATATGGAAATTACTAAGGGAAAACTAAAATTTTGGTTCATATCTATCTCAAACTTCATCAGTTCACTCTACTTGAGAAAATGATAGCTGCACGTGATGAAAATTTTCTCAGCTACAATTTTGTTCAAGACCCTTTTTCGATTTAATGTAAGGAACACAAATTATTAATGATTCAAGTCACTGATGTCGTATGATTATACTCAATCAACTGTTCAGCACGCAACATTGGTGTTTATGGTGCGTAGAGTAGCGGACAAAAATCATGGCTACTATGTCACACTGCAGAATACAGTGTTGCTCACAATACAGCTGCTTATTCATGCCATAATATTATCAATCTCTTAAACAATTCATAACTATTTAGTTTGACGCTGGGCCGAAAAACGATATCATGCAAAATTGTAGCTGAGAAAATTTCCCATAAGAATAACGATAGAACTTGTTAACAGTGCAATATGGAAAAGGCTAGAAGACAGAGATCAAAAAGTCTGGATTTCCCATAGTAATTTCCATATAAACTTCAAATGGTTTGTGCCAAGTCAGTTTCTTACAAAATGAGTTTAGACTTTCGGAGGCTAATCAGGACCGGATTTGGAACCGTTTGAGCACAGCGGAGCGAAAATTTAAAATTTTGCATTATTCTAATGGCGTTGTAGAAGTTCAAGGGGAAATTAATGGCGAGTGTTTCGTACGAACGACTCGATTCAAACGCGTTAGAAAACGGCATTCAGTTTTTTTTTCGAAAATAAACAGTATTAGTGGTACCAAACGATGTCAACAAAACAAAAATATTGCTAAAATTTGGTTTTAGGATCACTTTGTTTTCAATTCTACAAACATTCATGTTTGTCTGGTGTTGTTTTGGGCAAATTCCCGTAGGATACCAAGGATACCTGTTTGTTCGCTGTGAAGAAAATCAATATTTATTCTTGAAACATAAAAATTAAAACTTGTACAGATGCATAAGTCACATATATATGGACAGGTCAGTTCAGAGTTCCGTTGCCAGTTGGGACTAGTGTGGAATTTGATATTTAATTATTTGATGTAATTTGACAGCACGATTAGATAGAAGGTTGATGTCTTCAGTAAAGTTGTTCAGATGGACAAAACCTATTGAATGATGGACATCTCAGTTCAGAACTCACTCACCAGTTGGTGCTAGTTCCATAAAAGTTGACCGGTTCCTGACCAGTTGGTTAGTTCCATAAAAGTATTACAAGGCAATAGCCCAAGTAACATTTTATGTTTTATGAAATACTACAAAGCAACTATAAAACAACATTCATAAAACCCTGGTCAAGGCTATTTTGTCATTAATGCATCCCCCAAAACCTCATTAAGACTAGAATATGTCTAGTTGGCCCACCCTGGAGAAGGTTTTGAAGGGTGTATTCTCGAAGCTCTTCAAGATTGATTTACTGCAAAAGGTTGTATGACGAACGCATTGAGAACCATATGAAAGCTACAATAAAAACTATTTAGCAACAATGAAAACCCTTTCCGAGCCATTTCCCCTAGCTGCATGCTGAATCCACTAGGAAAGCATCAATCAAGATAGAAAAGGATTTATGAATCCGATCTTGTCAAAATAATTAAAATAGAAACTGATGGTATAAAAATCTTGTTGAATATCCAAATTTAGTTCTCATTAAGTGGCCTAGTTTTAAGTGCCATATTAATTTTTATGTGAAATGTACGTGAAAACATCGAAAAAATAAAGTCTACCCTCGTAAAACGTCAATTTGACTAATTATTTAACATTGAAAAAAAATAGAGCTTGGCCGAGATTTTTTTTTATTATTTTCGCATTTAAATGTTTGCTTATTGCTAAATTTACCAAAATATAGTTATATCAAAGGAAATATTGATTGAAAATCGAAGATTGTAAGAAACAAGCAAACTAATTGTAACATGGCGGTGGCATAAAAGTTGATTTTCATGGGTCATTTGTGAAAAAGTTGTTTTGCTTTCGCGAATTCCTTAACAAATTAATTAAAATGGCATTTATGAAGAAAACTTGCAGGCTGAATAATATTTATCTAAAGCCATTTTGTTTGATCCTAGCCCGTTCAGATTTATGGCAGCATTTATGGAGGCAAAGTTGCCTGCAAAAAGATAAACGTCAAAGTTTGCTGATCTTTCGATAGTTGCGCTGTGAGATCCAGGTCCGGTTTTCTCCCGATGGATTGGAAGCAGTTACTCAGAAAGTTTCGCCGAATAAAATCGCTGCTTTGGATCGGAAACCAGCTAATCTCCGCTAACTAACAGTTTCAGTGGTTTGCTGTCGGTTGTTATTTCGATTGTCATCGCAAGATCTGGAGAAGGCTGGTATGTTTTTCAACTTTCGAAAATGTTTTATGAGCTCGAGGGCCCCACTCACTTTACTCTTCTCCGACAGATGGTCAGTTGTTGATGTAGTGTTGGTTCTTCTAAAGAAGTAAATTTATCTTAAATTGACTTGATTTTTTCATCCTACATCGTCTATCCTTCGATATTTCGTTGTCATAAATTTGGCATTTATTAACTATGAGGAAACATCTGTTAAGCTCAATTTGTAAACAAAGTAATTGGGGTGTTAATGATGCACTTTAAAAAGCCTAAAAAGCAAAACTAATGGTTTTATGGTTGCTTTTATAATGATAGAACACGTTTATAAAGTATTTTATCATGACATTAATAAACAATTGCTAATGACGTTTATGCTTGAATTACAGAACAGTTTAAAGGAGGGATTGATAACTGTTTTAAATTTATTTTTAAACAAAACATATTTGACTTTCTTGACAGACTATAAAAGGTTTTTAAACAGCAAAAAGCTGAATTACAAAGCAGCAATGTTGTACACTTTGAAATGCTATATTTAAACTAAATGGATTGTTCATTGCCGTTATAAAACCATCATAAATCAGAGTGGATGCTAAATTGTTACTGAATTGTTACTTGGGAGGTATATGCGGCGCATTTAGCCAAAAGTAAATGGTTCTGCACAGAAGTTGAACCGAATTGCGGTCTTCGACAAAGTTGTTCTTCAAAGTTTACTCAATCTGAATCCCAGGTGTGGGCAATATTGTTTTTTTTTTTCCTTGATTTGTTTCCGTCGATCTTGTTTTCCGTGCTGAGCACCAATGCTACCGATGCCAGAGAGGCAGCTCCCACACCTGGATGCTATCTATCGACCCTTTCCCTTTCGAAGCAAGGCGTGATCAGAGATGTTATGCCTCAGAACAACCCAGCGGCGCCGACTAGGATTGAACCCAGGCCTGCTGGGGTGAGAGGCAATCACGCTTACCTTTATAACACCGGCGCCACTGTGGGCAATATTGAAACATGTTTAAATTTATGACAGGCAAATGACTAGTTTCATTCCGTTGCCCATACGTTTTTCCATGCAAACTTTAAAGTATTCCGCAAATCCAGATCGCAACCAAATTCGTTTAAATTTGGCACAGTTGTTGGGGACCTCAATACACATCGAAAGAGCAGTAAGAGTAAGGAATTTTTTTCAAAGATATGAACAAAAATGAGAACTCCAGATTCCACTAGGGAATTTGCAAAAGATTGATTTATCAAAAACTCACCATGCGACACCTCAAATCACATTACACATCACATTACTACGTCGTACGGACTGACTACTTAAAACTAAAACTTGTTTAATCTAATCCTCTTATTCTATTACTAAACACACATTTGGACATAGCACAGACAAACAGACATAACATTCGCAAGTTGTTCATCGAACAAGCATTTAACGGTCAATTTAAAAGTATCGTAGTTGGTAATACCGCCACCCGTGGCGCGCATAGTCAATTCCCTTGCGTTTGACGTATACACGCTACCGCCATCTGTTCAGCGTACTACCTACCACAGTGTACTCAACAGATGGCGTTAATGTTTTAGAGACGATGTTTTACAGTGAGAAATATTCAATGAGTTTTGTCTGTCTATCTGTGGACATAGTAAAATCACATTTGTTACAAACATCATTAAAGGAATGCAAAGAGGAATTAAAACAGTTATTGAATCCAAAGTTAGTTCTGTGTAATGGGATTGACAGTCACGGGGAGTTACGAAATC